GTCTCTCTCTCTTTATCTTTCTTTTTCTCTCTTCCTTTCTTTTCTCTCCCTCTTTCTCTTTTTCTTTCTCTCTTCCTCCCTCCCTCCCCCTTCCCCCCCCCTCCCTCTGTCCTTCCCTCCTTCCCTCCCTCTCTTTTCTTGTGGGAATTTTGTTGAGTTTTGTTCTGGATGTGGTTTTTTGGTGACCCAGTGAGTTTTTTATTGTTTACTGTGGCCACCCTACCAGTGACTGCAGCACTGGAGAAGTGTTTCTTGTTCCCCTGTCAACCCTTAATTTTAATTTAGAGTCTTTTTTTTTGAGACAGGGTTTCTCTGTGCAGCTTTGTGCCTGTCCTAGATTTCGCTCTGTAGACCAGGCTGGCCTCGAACTCACCAAGATCCACCTGGCTCTGCCTCCCCAGTGCTGGGATTAAAGGCGTGCGCCACCACTGCCCGGCGGGTATGTTTTAATTACTCAGGGAAGGGTAGGGGCCCTATGAGCCCCCTCCCTCTACTGTTTCCCAGTCTTTGTAGCTCTTCTGTAGGTACCCACTGTGGCTATGTGATCCACTGTGGAGTTGTATTCTGTAGAAACAATCAGGCAGGTGGTTGGAGTATGGAAGCATTAGGTCTGTTAGGACGTTGGTGTGGTGCTTGCATACAGCAGGTCCCTAACTGCTACGATATGTGAGAATACTTGAGTAGTGGGTCTCAAAACTGTCTGCATGTTGGTGGTGGACTGACTAGCTTAAAAGGACAGGTAAGGGTTGTGTCACCCCCGCTCAGAACTTGTATTAGATGGTTGTGGCCTGAGCTGTTGATTTAACTAGGACTCCTAAATTAAGGACATACAAGGTGTCAGAAGTCCACCTAGTTGAAGCTTTGCCCCTTAAGAGTTGTGACTTTAATACAGATACCTCACTGTAGACATGAATCTCACTTCCACGTGGGTTATTGTGAGAATAAGAAGAATAATTTCACACACTTGGCTTGACTCCTAAGCCATAGTAAACAGTTCATAAGTTCTGTTTGTTTGGAGACAGGGTTTCTCTGTGTACCTTGGCTGTCCTGGAACTTGCTCTGTAGACCAGACTGGCCTCGAACTCACGCAGATCCACCTGCCCTTTCCCTTCGAGGTGTGCACCACCAAAGCTGTTGTTTTACAGTCTTGTTTTTCTACATTTAAGATTACTTTTTAAACAGGCAGTGTTGTAATGCCATGAATTATCTGAGTTCCCAGTTAAGTTAAAATAGCTGTCATTTTTGTTTCTTTAGTTGCCATTATGCTCAGTTGTAAGCTGGCAGTTTAATTTTATTCAGCCTTTAAAAAGATTGACCATTTTGACAAAGTGTGATCATTGGACTTCAGTGGTAAAACTGAGTGTGTGAGTGTGAAAGAATTGGAAGGTTAGGCTTCCGTACTTGGCAGATACTTGAAGCTATTTCTGTTAGTCATACCATTTCAAACTTTGTAGAAATAAGGTAAGTTTGGTTTGGCTTGCCAACTCCTTCCTTTGAAGGTTTATTGCGTTCTGGAATGCTAAAGGTATAAGGGTAATGAGCTGGAGAATATACTTATAATGGGTATTTTGGTACCTTAAGCTTACCAGGTTAAAGGTGACATCTATACTTTGAGAAAATTAGGTTGTAGGCTTACTGTATAATTTAAAAAATGAAAAAACAACTTAGATTCTAGTGTGCTGTTTCTTAGGCAACATGTACTGCTTGTCTTTCTGTGTGTGCATGTGTTTATGTGTATGAGTATATGCATGCTCATATCATGTGGGTGTCTGCAGAGACCAGGAGACTGTTTCAGATCCCCTGGAGCTTGAGCTACAGGTGGTTGTGAGCTGCCTGTGGTGGGTGCTGGGAACCTAGCTCAAGTTCTCCGCAGGAATAGCACTCTTAACCTTAGTCATCTCTCCAGGCGCCCGGATTTTAAAGTTTTTATTTATTTTTTAGCACAGTAACCCATAACTGGCTTTGAACTCATTCTGTCGCTCAGAATGACTTTGAACTTCTAGCTACCCTCTTGCCTTAGCGTTTAAAGTATTGAAGTTACAAGCTGTATGCCACTATGCCCAGTACCTTAATGCCATTTCTAAAGGAAGGGGAAACTCATCAATGACTAAGTAGAGGAGTTCATTTAATGAGCTAACATGGTGAGGTAGAAAGGTGTTTATTTGGGTTTATTAGCTTTCCTCAAGTCTGATCTCTGTTGCATGTGTTCAACTGTGCCATTGTATCAGCAAAGCAGCTG